GGGATGTCATTGTTTGGCTACGGCTAGGACTTGGTTCTAGTACGGGGGATTGTCCCTCTATATAGTCTAGTGCGCACATAGGGAGGTTACCCATGAGTTAGTAACCTTAAAGTAACTATGTTGTCGGTCTGATCTGACGTGACGTCCGAGTATCAACTTTGTTTGATTTCGTATTTCATTTCAAGTTGATAACTAGATGATATCGTAACTTGTTGTTCCTTATTTGATTTCCTATTTTGAGCTTAAGATGTAGCTTTGTGAAAGCGTGCTTCATGCGTTGTATTGGAAGTTCCATTGTTGGTTAAATTGCATCGATATCATAATTTGTGTTTTGATGTTCAAATGTAGTTTAGGAATGACCTTATAGATTCATTTTGAACATAGACGTTAGATAGCATGACCCACACTTGTTGTTTTCGTATTTTGGATTTCAAGTTAAAGACTTTGAGAATTTATATCTTGTTGCCTTATATAACATGTTTTCATGTTGTTTGAATTGCATGAGCAATGTGATTATGATATAAATGATCTAGGTAGCTTAGGATGCTCCCTGAGTCTCATCTTGACATAGACATTAGGTGGCATGAGCCCCTTTAACATGTTTCACCATAAGGTGATAAAATTGTAAAATGCTAGGTCGATGCATGCTCATCTCCTACGAGTAGCTTTATGTTACTCACCCCTACGATACTGGGGCATATTTCAGGTACAGGACTCAGGATTTGAAGATTCCATTGCTTCTTGGATGGCTTACAGTTTCTAAGTTTCTATTTTATGCAAGTGTTAGCATAAGATGCCTCTTTGTAGCCTTATTTGTTTAAACTTGTATTCGTTGATTCGTATATGTAAAGTGTACGTAAGTGCACTCTTTTCAATGTATTTAATATGTATGAGATGAGGCCGGAGGCCAATGACATGTATCTCATTTTCTATGCACTTTTGTTTTCAAAGTTTATTATGAAAATATTGGAAAATGTCAAGTCACTATTTCATAACTTTCGCATCGGGTGTTGGAATTTCGTATCTTTTCTGCCCGGACTCAGAATCAGACGATTCTTGAGTCTAATTTTGTTTATTTTTTGTTGTCCTTCCAATGGTGTGCACGGTGGCACCCTTTTTAGTGAGAAATGACCATTTTGCCCTTAGTTCATCTCTTTTTGGGTTAGGCATTCTTACTTCATTTGCTTGGCTCATTTAAGTTCTGTGGCTTCATAGAGAGTCATTTTGGGGCCTTAGGGATGGCGTACATCTCTTGAGGTCATTTGGCTTCTTTCGATTTCGCATTTCAGGTCTGTTATCGGGTCAACTTCTGGTTCATCACTAACGTACCGGGTTGAGAAATCCGGGTCGTTACAGGTGGTATCAGAGCTCCTAGGTTTGAATACCTTGGACGACAGGTTTTGGGTGCATATCATGCTTTTGTTGCCATGCTCTATGTGTTTATTTGCTTCATGATAACATGTTTATATACTTACGTGCTACATGTGGTATGCCGTTTGTTTAGCATGATTTAATTATTATGTAAAGAGCATGACATATGATGTATTCTAGATCAGATTTGTATATACATAACTGTGTTGCATATGTGGCATGACACGAGATTGGTCATTGAGGCTCAAGTTGAGGTTAATGGTGATTGTAGTCACGGTTGTATTGCAGTTTAGGTTGTTGTTGACCTAGAGTTGGTTTTGAGGTAGGTGGAGAGACACCTTTTGTTTAGGCTCTCGTGGGCTGAGCCATTAGGCACAACCGTAGTGCTGGATTTGTTGATTTTAGGCCATGGTTAGGTTTTGGACCTTTTGGGATCCTTGGTTGTTTTGGAAGGTTCCTCTGAGATTGCAATTTTCGTGGGCGGGTACGTTGTGGGCGGGTGCATGGCACAGTTATGCTACCGTGCTGGCAAGCTACGAGTGCAGTTCGGATGGAATCAGCGTTGGGTTTTATTCCGACGGGTGTAGTCCTTTTGATCGATAATGATGATGGTTGTTTTAGGGATCAGTCGTAGTGATCAATTTGGTTGTCTGATCGTATGGCTAGAGTTGCCATTTCCTTTGAATTCTCCCTGTGCGATGACGCTTTTCGGGTCAAGTCGATTGATAGATACTTCGGGTAGAGAAAGCATTACATTGTTAGTGTCACTTGTAGTGTCACCCTTAGATTCAGAGATGGATTCTAAGAGTCTTACCATTGTGGTAAGGGCTCACGTTTGTTTTGAGACAGGTTGTTGTTGCATTGGTTTTTGGAGTCAGTGTATGGCTAGGACTGGTCCTTCCTTTTTACCTAGGCACTCTAGGATACGATGTCCATAGGGTTCATTGTTGCATCACTTTTGTTTTCTGCAGTTTCATTTATTACCATGTTAGTAGTATGATTTATGATATTGTGATGCATGAGTAGGTGGAGGTCTATCCACATTTGCCTTCTTGTTGTGTGGCAATAACATGCCTTTCTTATATGCTTCGAGATGTCATGTTGTTATTGCACTTTAATGACACGCTTTTGTGTTTATGTGGAGACGTGCAGCATGTGTTTTTGATTTTCATATATGTAAGTAGATTTTCTTTCTGGTAGTTGTATTCCTTCTCATATGCATGACTTTCAGGTTTGGTTTTCCTATTCGTTTCCCTTGGTTGCACGCAGTCTGTATGCGAGTTTCCATAATGGTTTTGTGCTGGTTCGTGTTAGGGACTTCACAAGGAGTGAGTCTCTTCCCTCAGTTGTGTTGTACACTGTTTTGGGGTTGGTGGGTCCATGAGGATCATCGTTGTTGTCTTGAGTCCTTGGTGAGGATTTAATAGATTTTGGTCAACTTACTTCCATGTAGGGGGTGAAGTCGTTGACTTTGATGTTTTTCATTTCAGAGATGGAGTCGTGGTGTTATCCTTTTTAGGACTGGTGGTCCCCTTTCTTTCGTGTCTTCCCTTGGGGAGTTCCTGCCCTTGTTGTTGACGGTTGTGGTGCTCAAGTGAGTTGATTGGTGTGAGATCATTTTACAGAGACTTATGTCCATATCTTTGAGGATTGTTTGATTCGTGAGGTGAGCTCGATGCTCTTTTGAAAATGTCTTTTGGAGACTTGTTCCAGTTTTGGAGGCCTGGATGTGGTTGACTCTTAGGAGGAGTTTTGGAGGATCTTTATTGGATATGGCTTGCCTGTGGAGTTTTCTCATCCTAGTTTTGACTAGGCATGGCCTTGAGGAATTGTAGTTCCAGTGGTTGTTTATAGATGGATCGAAATTGAGGAATTTTGATTTAGCTTGGAGTTGTAAAGTACGATTTTGAGAGACTCGTTCTATAACCTTGGTTGTCAAGATTTTGATATGTGTGCCACTTCGTGGACTTGTATTTCGAGGATCTAGTTATCCGTGATAGGGATTTTGATCTGATGTTTGATTACGGTGTGGTTTCGTAATTGATCTATTTCAAGATGATATATGGGATTTTGGAGATGATGTTTTGTTTGTTAGGCTTTGGATTCGTGGTTTAGGTTGTAAACAGGAGTATTTTGAGGCGTTGGAGTTATTGGTTTTGTTATATTGAGGACTTAGGACCTTAAGCTTAGCGGTGCCTATGACATTGTTGTCAGAGTTTTGGGATTAGCTACCCCAACTCTCACAAGATGCCTGGTTCCCGTAGAGCTTTTGGTAATGATGATTCACGACATTGATGTCATTTGTATCGAGAGGTTTCATGGGTAGACCTAGTGGGGGGCAGGTTATGAATTAGTGCCTTATACTGTCATACTACCTTACTGACGAGTAAGTGTGAGCGGGTTCTGGTCGCTATTCGTACTACCCCATTGTCCTTATTTTGTACTTTGATTTGATCTGTGATGATCTTCGAGTTCTTTTTGGGTTGTTTTTAGATCGGTATGATGGTTCATCAGGAGAAATGCTTACGGTTGTTGTCTTCCATTCCTTTGTCTGGCGTTGGGTTCTGTGAGTGACCTTTGACTTGTCGTGTGGCCGTGCGGTCATTTTTCTTTTGAGAGGTTGTCCAGTTGTAAGCACGTGGGTGCAAATGTCATTGGCTTGAGCATTGTCTTTTAGCCTTGGGGTTGTTTTCGTTGCATGTTGTTTGGGGTACTTGAAGATGTACTCCGTAGTTATCCTAGTTTTGCCTTTTGTTTTGTTGGGGCTGGATTTCGGGGACGAAATCCCTTTAAGGTGGGAAGGTTGTAATGACCCGGTTATTTTTTTCCTTTTCCTTTTTTCTTCAAATTTTGCGGATAAATTTTTTTTTCATTGTCTTTTCCTTTTCGGGTTCGATTTCCCGCCTCTTAGTGTCGTCTCGAGTGTTCGAAAATGGTTTCTGAGACTCTTTCCTTTATATTGACAACTTCCTTTGAGGACCGAATCATTTCCACAATTTTTGTTTTTTTGACACTATTCATTTTTCGTCTTTTCCTTATTTCGTCCTCTTCTCGTTTTTCACTTTTACTTGCATAACCTCATTTTTTGTACTCGGATTTAATTCCAGTTTTGCATACATTCATGATATTTAAATTCCATGACATCTACATTTTTACTTTTGTAGAAATGCATATTAAATGCTTACTTTCTTTGTAAAAACCATGAAAATAAGACTTTTTGCAATTATCCATAACTTGAGGGGTTTTGGGGTAATTAAGTAAAGTAATTATTTTTCGTCTTAGGGACCATTTTGCAAATTAAATTGGAAGATATTTTCAAAAAGGACCTTTTTGCAATTTTCGAAAAATGTGACAAGTGTCACATTCCTATGGTGCCATTTGTTGATTTTGTGGTGGAACCACTTGGAGGCTTAATCTCATGACACATGGAGGGTGGAGATTCACCCACTTGTTGTCCTAGGATTGGTGCACTTGTTGGCATGGATGGTTGACAAGTGTAGGGTTAATATTTAATCTTGGAAGCTCACTTGGATTCATAACAAGTGTAGGACTCACCTTAAGTCTTACATTAGTGTGTGTGTGAGAGGTAGTGCAAGAGCACCTAGTGAGTGGAGAAGCCCACCAATTTAGCTTAGGGTTTACACATTTTAATTCATTTATCATTTTCCTCTCAAGAACCCTAAGGAAGCCACCATTGGAGAAAAGCTTGACTAGTAGCTTTGACTTCATTTTTGGTGCCCTTTCACTCACCTTAGAACTTTGAACTTGGAATACTTTAGGCTCCTCCCACTCTCCTCTTCAAAACCCTTGAAGGATCTAGCCTAACTCCTAGTTTTGCTTTGGTATCTAGAGATTCAATTCTCTAGTGAGGTATTGATCTATTATTTTGAAGTATTTTTATGTCATTATTGAGTGTTTTACATGCATGGAAGAGAAGGACTTGTATTTTGCCCTTAAACTATTTTAACTTGAAATTAATCTTGTCAAATTAAATATAGATTATGAAAATATAGTCAATTAGGTTTCATTTAGTTTTGGTTTCATGTAATTTAAATTTAAAATGAATTAGTTATGAATTTTTGAAGTTGCAAGCTAGTTGCTGGAAATTTGAAGCTTTTCCTTTTCAGTTCGGAAATGAATTTTTTATATGGAGCTGTGGTGCTTCAATTGCCTTGAAATTTTTACTAGAACTTCCACCATGGGTTTTACACAACTCAGAATTTTTTCACGATTTTAGAGCATTTATAAAGTTTTTTAAAAAACTGAAACTATCTGCTGTCCATGTTTTTATTGCAGCTGGAAAACATATGTTTAGATGATTTATTTCACTAACCTTTTGGTATTGGATCATGGCTTAAATTTCCAGTTTTACACACTCATATGTTTACTTCCAAAATAAATTAGGTTTGCCCAATTTGGATGTCAAATGAATTTTTCATGAATTTTCAAAGTTGGAAGCTACAGGCTGAAAATGTGTTTTTTGGGCAGAATTTGTTTCAAAGTTGTGGGTCAAAACTGTTTCAATTGGGAAAATATTTTGTTAAAATAAATTTATATTATCAAATTACAGTGTTTAAGCTTTCATTGTGCTTTGGATTCATTCAATTTGGGTTAGATTGAATTTTTTATGAATTTTACAAGTTGAAGGTAGCAAGCTGAAAAATCTGTTTTACGGACCGAAAATTTGGGGCGATTTCATTTCGGTGGTAATTGGGATTTTCATTCCAATTGAGGTAAGGAATGTTTTAGAATTATTTGTGTGTTGTATTGTGTGTTTACCATGATTATACAACATATATGTATGCCTTGTATCAAATCTTGAAAGTTAGTAATTTTTATTTCTTTGTATAAGTTTTAAAATTTACGATGATGTATAACTTTGATTTGAATTGTAACATGCTAGGAAATTATGCTTAGATATATTGGTTAACATATATTAAATTTGGATCATTTGATTAAGAATTACAACTTTTATTTAATATTTATCTTTAGTGAAAGTTTAATTCACATGGTTGTATCAAGCATTAAATCAAGTTGTAATGTGGTATTTAAATAGGCCTTGGCATGTTCTGTAACATAGATTAAATTGAGGGCATTTGGAATTGTTTAAAAATCTAGAGAAAATTAATTAATTAGCTTGATTAATTTTGTTTTAAGTGTTTTTATCACTTAACTTGTCATTTGATGTTATATATATGATGACCATGACATATCTTTCAATATATATTAAATTGAGGTTATTTGGATTAACTTGAAATTTAGAGAATTTAACTATTTATGTTTAATTAAATTCTACTTTATTACTCTATGGATTTAGTTGCATTTTGGAAGTTGTTTCTATATTTAAATCACGGATTTGGATTTGATGTATGTTCACTTGATTACTTTTGAGTATTGGATAACATAGTTGTTACTTTTATATTCATGAGAATATATTTTTCCTTATTGAATATATTATTGCTATGTGTAAGGAATTGCACACTTTGTATTTGACATCTTACATGCCATAGTAGTTGTGAATTTTGAGCATGTATTGTAGAAGTTTCCAAAATTTGGATTGTGCTTGGTAAATAGTTGATATCTTGTATATACATGTTGATATATATACGTTGTTGCACAATTTGTTGATTGTGGAAACTTGGGGATGTCGTTGTTTGGCTACGGCTAGGACTTGGTTCTAGTACGGGGGATTGTCCCTCTATATAGTCTAGTGCGCACATAGGGTGGTTACCCATGGGCTAGTAACCCTAAAGTAACTATGTTGTCGGTCTGATCTGACGTGACGTCCGAGTATCCACTTTGTTTGATTTCGTATTTCATTTCAAGTTGATAACTAGATGATATCGTAACTTGTTGTCCCTTATTTGATTTCCTATTTTGAGCATAAGATGTAGCTTTGGGAAAGCATGCTTCATGCGTTTTATTGGAAGTTCCATTGTTGGTTAAATTGCATCGATATTATAATTTGTGTTTTGATATTCAAATGTAGTTTAGAAATGACCTTATAGATTCATTTTGAACATAGACGTTAGGTGGCATGACCCACACTTGTTGTTTTCGTATTTTGGATTTCAAGTTGAAGACTTTGAGAATTTATATCTTGTTGCCTTGTATAACATGTTTCCATGTTGTTTGAATTGCATGAACAATGTGATTATGATATAAATGATCTAGGTAGCTTAGGATGCTTCCTGGGTCTCATCTTGACATAGAGGTTAGGTGGCATGAGCCCCTTTAACATGTTTCACCATAAGGTGATAAAATTGTAAAATGCTAGGTCGATGCATGCTCATCTCCTACGAGTAGCTTTATATTACTCACCCCTACGATACTGGGGCATATTTCAAGTACAGGTTTCAGGATTTGAAGATTCCATTGCTTCTTGGATGGCTTACAGTTTCTAAGTTTCTATTTTATGCAAGTGTTAGCATAAGATGCCTCTTTGTAGCCTTATTTGTTTAAACTTGTATTCGTTGATTCGTATGTGTAAAGTGTACGTAAGTGCACTCTTTTCAATGTATTTAATATATATGAAATGAGGCCGGAGGCCAATGACATGTATCTCATTTTCTATGCACTTTTGTTTTCAAAGTTTATTATGAAAATATTGGAAAATGTTAAGTCACTGTTTCACAACTTTCGCATCGGGTGTTGGAATTTCATATCTTTTCTGCCCGGACTCAGAATCAGACGATTCTTGAGTCTAATTTTGTTCATTTTTTTGTTGTCCTTCCAATGGTGTGCACGGTGTCACCCTTTTCAATGAGAAATGACCATTTTGCCCTTAGTTCATCTCTTTTTGGGTTAGGCATTCTTGCTTCATTTACTTGGCTCATTTAAGTTCCGTGGCTTCATGGAGAGTCATTTTGGGGCCTTAGGGATGACGTACATCTCTTGAGGTCATTTGGCTTCTTTCGCTTCCGCATTTTGGGTCCGTTATCGGGTCAACTTCCGGTTCATCACTAACGTACCGGGTTGAGAAATCCGGGTCGTTACAGACAGTGTTGAAGATTGAAGAAATTAGGTCTGTAACAATCACTCGTGGAAGAAGGACATTGCTATGATCGGAAGAGTTTAAATTTGCGCCAGAGAGTCATCTTAAAATCATGATAACCGGTAAGGTGAACTGCGCTATGATTGCTCTCGATAAAGAATTGTTCATTTCGTGTGGTGTTAAAGAAATCAAGAAGATAGAGGAAATGGAAGCCAAAATAGAGTACCCTTGAATTAAATAATTACATGCCTATAAATAAAGTCTCTGTATCACTAGAAAAGTTTCTTTTCCTTCGAAGAAACAAACCTGAATTAAACTATTTATGATTTTCAGATTAATTTTTGCCGTATTACAATCAGTTTACGATGTCAAATTCGTGATTTCTTATATCTCTATCGCTTCTTCTTCAGTTTCATTTGCTTCAATAACAGGCAAATCGCTTTTGTACAATTCCTCGACCTCCTTCGAATCACATTTACCTTCTAAGCTCTTCTCATGAACGACAAAGCATCAAAGGGATGTTGAGTTTGATTGGATGATTGCTTCATTAATTTCATCTATGTTTTCTCTTTGTGTATGCAATTATGTATGTATGTATATATATATATATATATATATATATATAGATCTCTTATATCTCTATCGCGTCTTCTTCGGTTTCATTTGCTTCAATAACAGGCAAATCGCTTCTGTACAATTCCTCGACCTCCTTCGAATCACATTTACCTTCTGAGCTCTTCTCATGAACGACAAAGCATCAAAGGGATGTTGAGTTTGATTGGATGATTGCTTTATTAATTTCATCTATGTTTTCTCTTTGTGTATGCAATTATGTATGTATGTATGTATATATATATATATATATATATATATATATATATATATATATATATTTGGTATCTTAAGTTAGGAAGTATTGTTATGGAGCTATCTTTTTAAAGAGATTGAAATGAAACCCTAATTCTTTTATTTATTATTTTGCTTAATTAAAGGTATGACAATTGATTATCAAATCAATGTGTACTGCTTAAAGCAACCATTTTTTGCTTTGACAAACAAAGGGCTTCATCATAATTTTTTTAACAATATAGTTTTAAAGTAAATTTTTTTCCTAAAAAATTTATTGTAAATAAATAAGAGAGTTAAAAAATTTAATTTAGTTATAAGAAAATACTAGTAATTATTAATCATTAGAATAGCTTGTTAAAACGAATTGCACCTAAACACCAAATTGCCAATGGCCCTATTCACCCCCCCTAGGGTCAATATTCGGATAACAGTATATATATAGATATATATATATATATATATATATATATTTATTTATTATTTTGTTACCACAAAATCTAGTTTTTATATGATCAAAATATATAGGTATCTTATTTATCCACTAAGTATTTCTCGAAACCTCATATAATAGGTTCCATTACATGCTATTTTTTTTTAATTATTATTTTGAACTATGGCTTGTGCATTAGAAAAAGTTTTCAAAAACATGCATATGAGGTTATATAGCTAGACAAGTTTCAAAGTTTATACAAATTTGTTAAACCTTATTTGTGCATGGAATAAACTTTTTAGGACCAAAAAGTACATGAAAACTTTATTTATTCATTTATCGAAAAAGTGATGTCACTTCGATCAAAGTTTATGAAGGTTCGATTGATTGATGTTATGCCAAGTTCGATCGATAGGTGTAAGCTAAACTAAATTGGAATTCCATAGAGTTGGACTTTGGTTGATTAAAGAATAAGCCATCTCAATTGATCAAAGACCCCGAAAGTTCGATCGATAGAAAACTGCTATTGGCTTGATCAATCGAAGTATGTTATGCATTGATCAATCAACGTCACTAACAATTCGATCGACGTAAATGTTAGTTGCGGAAAAACCTTCCAAAACTTTATTTTTATTATATTATAAAACCTAATGCTTTGATAGCAAGTTGTATACTTGGAGAACAAGTTGCCAAATTTTATAAATAGGTTTAGGTCTGACATTAAACATAAGGAGAGAAGAATTTATTTTATTATCTAACTCTCATTTTTGGGGTTTCCATATGCTTTATATTATGTTAGAGTAAGCAGCACTAGAGCTTTGAATCTCTTGGAAGGACTTCATTCTTATTTTAGAGAGATATTTCATACTTGAGAATGGGGTTTTTATTGTCATATATTTTCACTCTTGGGTAGATGAGTTTTGTTTATTTTTCAATCTAGAAACCATATAGATTATATGTGTTGTGTGATTGAATATCAACAAAAGAGGCTTGATTCTACAATAATCGATATCCAAAGGAGTGAAGAAAAAATATGGGACGAAACAAGCATGTGGGTTGAAGTAAAACAATTGTGTTGAAACTGAGTGTGGGGTAGACAGATCGGGTCGAAACACAAACGTGTGGGTTGGAGTACTACATGTGAGTATCTTGGAGCAGGTTGAAGAAGATTCAAGGTCCTTAAGTTGTGTATAATAGGATTGATGTGGATCAATGGGATCATGTAGTTGTTAGATTGTGAAGGCCCTAGATTTGACAAACCCAGTGCGTCATGTGATGACCCGAAACGGATCCAAAATATGGAAGTAAAACATAAACAACTCTATAAAGATGTACTTCATCCCTAAGACATGAGAATGGGCTTCTGAGAAGTCCCGTGACTCAGCGGAAGTAAAACCGAAGTTAGGGTTTCAAAACCCTCCAACGAATGGACCGAGGGCAAAATGATCATTCCAAACTAA